AACGCCACCTTGGGATTGTTGGTCTCCCTCGCGGAAGTACATTAAGTGGCCTGATTCGAGGGTTATGGTGTCCTCCCCCTCTCTTCGGACTTCACACAATCCTAATATGTGCCACCTAATCTTTCCAAGCTCCACCTCAAGTTGCGCCCGATGCGAGTCAAGCGGAGCGTGCGTCCGTTGTACGTCGCCAGGTTCAGTCGGTTGTGGTGGCCTCCCGTAGCCCGGAGATTCTTAGCACCCCCTGCCTCGCCGTTACCATGGTCACCACCATGACCAGGAATAGCGAGGCCGCCGGGAACTAGGGGCCGTGGCCTTTTGTGCTTTCGCATTTGGGGGATATGCCCATAATCGCCACGCTGGGCAAGCGTGTTGGCGATCGCAGTATGGTCCGGTTCTGTGGCCCGCACAAGAAGACGCTGCTGCCCATCTCCTTGGGTTAAATTTCCCTTAGTCGCCTCTTACGACACCCACGGGATGAAAAGGGGTAGTAAAATTCTATACCGGTACTACACGGCCACGGTTTTAAATCGTACCACGCATATATTCCTATAGAGTTTACCATTCCGCTCAATTTAATATAAAATTCACTAAAAATCGCGACCATCTTTACTTAGTCAGTTACTTAACCGCATCGTAAACCGAATGCAAACCTCTAATCTTATAAAAAGCAAAACAATTAAAGTTTTTTCATCGAATTAATTCCGAAACAACTGAACCAATATTTATGTGGCTATTTAACAGGTACGCTTGTGGGGTACAGGCAGGTTGAAGGCAACATCAATTGGCGATAATCGAAACTATTTTCTCGCTCTATATATGTACAGCAAATTTCGAGCTCTTTGAGAGCTCGACCGCATTTATCTATCAAAGGAAGTTTTAGAATAAAACAATACTGCATATGTGTTACAATCAGCAGTTAGTCGTGCTAAGTTATCTTCAGGAGTTTTCTGAGATCAAACGCTTGCTGTATTAGTTCTCTGAGAGCTCAAGATAAAGCCAAAGTTTATATAGGACGTAACCTGGCCTGAAATTTTCTACATCTCGCTGTAGGATCCTCTTAAGAATCTCATCCTTTTAACAGTTTTGCAAATTTGACCTTTTTTTCGAGGGATTCTTACAATTTATGTACCTTTGTAGCGAAAATATCTGCTGAGACGTTAACTTGACTTTATTCTTGACGTCGAGGAAATGCTACTGGTGCAGTTCCTGTTACCCGGCTAGCAACATGGGGTGAATAGAACTCTTGTCCGTGAACCCACCCAGCCGCAGCCGAATCAACAGGATACTCAAGTATTGGACCATTGGTCCCAAGCCCAACCCAGATAGAGAGGCTCGGGCCCATTGAGAGCCTCTCCCAGACAGGTGAAGCCTGCAGAGGTGGCTGTCAACCACCTCTGCTAGCCTCAAAGACGTAAACCTAACCTGATAAGAATTTACTATCGAAAACTTTATGCGTGCGTTCATTGTAAACCACTGAATGCTTAATTGCAGCAGCGCAACGCTCTTTTCTCTTGATCCCCTACTCGCGCGTTCATATACTACATTTCCATTATAAGCTTCAGCTTATAATTTATATGATCAAACATACTTAACAAGATTCACCCTTTTTAATATGACTTATCATATATAATTAATGTCAACTTACACTGCAGTATCCAAAATACTGAAAACTTATTTTTTGTTAACCAATTTTCACATGGGTTGTTCACGGGATGGGTGATCAAAAATTATTAAATAAAGGCCTGAGCAACACTGCATGGAGATGTAAAAGAGCTGACGATGATGAACAATATATCAGAAACTAAATTTAATGAGGCAATCAATTTCATAGCAATTTAAGCGGACACAATACTTCAAATTGATATAACTTTTTTTATTTATGAACCGATAGAAGTAAAACTTACACTAAATGTTGACGGAAAGTTACCACAATATTGTATTACGAGGGTCAAACTGAAAGTTCTTAGAACTGGCCACTTATAAACAATATAATAAAAAAATAATTCTAAAATTTGAAAATATAACTCTTTGCCAATATTACTGAGTATATATTTCATTCATTTGTCATTTGTTTTACGATTTGGCGGCAAATTGAAAATTGTCTGTGTCACGTCATCATGAATTTAACACGAGAAAATTTTCGTGCAATGATTTTTTATGACTTTCGATGTCATTTAAGTCAACAAGAAAGTTATGATAGACTACGATTGGCCTTTCACGATGAAGCCCCATCTCGTGCGACTGTTTACAACTGGTTTAATGAGTTTAAACGTGGTCGCACTAATCTCACTGATGATTTACGTGAGGGACGGCCTTCTACGGCGACGACTGAAGATAACATCTGTGTTGTGCGGCGTATGATAGAGACTGACAAAAGAGTGACCTATCAACAGATTCGGACAAGCTTAGGCATCGGTATGAGTCAAGTGCACAAAATCCTCCACGAACATTTAGCGGTCAGGAAGCTTTGCGCCCGGTGGATACCTCATAATTTGACTGAGGCTCAAAAACTCCATCGTGTGGATTGGTGTCGTAAAATGATTGAAAGATTTAACGGAGGTGACTCAAATGCTGTGTTCGACATACTAACAGGTGACGAAAGCTGGATTTACTGTTATGATCCTAAAACCAAAAGACAATCTGCTCAGTGGGTGTTTCCTTTCGAGGAGTTGCCAACTAAAGTGAAGAGAGATCGAAGTGCGGGAAAAAAAATGGTGGCCTCGTTCTTTGGAAGGATAGGTCATTTTGCAACAATTGTGTTAGAGGATCAAAAAACAGTTTCTGCAGAATGGTACACTACCAATTGTTTGCCACTTGTCTTGGAAAAAGTTCGAGAGAAACGACCTCGCAGTAGGATCCTCCTTCACCACGACAACGCCTCGTCGCACACCGCCAAGCGAACGATCGACTATTTGGCGACATCAAACGTTGAATTACTGGATCACCCGCCGTATAGCCCCGACCTCGCGCCTTGTGATTTTTATTTATTTCCAAAAATTAAAGAAAAACGTAAAGGAAAGCGGTTTATGAATGCTGAAGAAGCGGTGGCTGCGTATCGCGATGCCATTGAAGAGACCCCTAAGGACGAGTGGGCAAAGTGCTTTTCCCAGTGGTTCCATCGCATGCAGCGGTGTATTGACGTGAATGGACAATATTTTGAAAAGATATAATAAAACTAATAACTGGCTAATGTAATCAGTTTTTGATTTTCTAAGAACTTTCAGTTTGACCCTCGTATAGTGAAAAATTTAATTAAAATCGGTTCAGTCGTTTCTGAGATTAACGTGGACAAACACACAGACAAAAAATTTAAAATCATTGTTTTGTGTTCTATTACGTTTATAAATGCCCCTCATAACTGTTTTTTTCATATATCTTCAATGTATAGACATCGGTCAGTTATTTTTTTATTATAGTATAGATAAAGATAGATATTTGGATAATATCCATCAGATATTTGGAGCGTATTTTGATTTGTTATATAAACAAAACTGCTAATTCAATTTCGATCAAATTTATATAAGACTACTTCGGGTCCATAAGCTGTCTAATAAAAAAGACTTTAAAAATTGGTCAACGATTCGTTTTAATTTTTAATAAATTTGGTGAATAATCGTTAAAAATACATTTCCGTTGAACATATCACCTCCTCTTTTTACCCGACTGCGCGACGCAAAGGAGGGTAATGTGTTCATCAGTCTATGTATGTATGTATGTTTGTTTCTATGTGGCGTTCTAGAGACCAAATGCGTAGGTCGACTTGATGATTCTTACGTCAATCGATTCGTCTTAACCTTGCGAGTTTCACTAAAGATGACAGTAATCAAAATTCACCACAGCGACAACCAAACCCCATATTGCCAAAATGAAAAAAAAAATCGATTAACTATGTCAAGTGGGGTGTCGTTGAATAGGTCTTTTAAAATCATCTTTAGATGCCTTTTATCATTTTTCATTTTAAAAAATATTTTAGGATATATAACGATTTAAAGTTGTTTCACAAAACATTCTCGCTAATTTTCTTTTTTATTGATTTAAGTTTTTATTTAAAGTATAAACGGTTTACAAATAAAAAAAAACAGTGAAAAAGCATGAAGAACAAATATTTTTGATAAAAAAACAAACCAGTAGCTTTGAGTCGAATTAGGTCTCTAAAGGGACTTATCATCAGTAGTTTAGACCATCGCAAGTTACTTAATAATCCCCACGATATTAACTCCCTCAATGAAATGACTAGATTGCGAAATTTACCATCTTATAACGAAGTCAACGAATCGTAACTAAAAAGTATAAATATAAAATAAATAATTTAAAGAAAAACAAAATACCCAACTGCGTAAAAACGAATTTTAAAAAATACATGAATAAATGAACTTAAATAAAAACTAAAAAGAAAGAAACAGTCGGAGTTTTTGTTTTTTTCTTAGAAACTGTTTCTTTCTTTTTAGTGTTTATTTAAGTTAATTTTTTATTGTATTCTGTCGGATTTTTTGTTTTTTGAATTTGAAGTCGGTTAAAAAGTTTTAAATTGTAGAAACGGCACAAATAGATCCAACCAAAGGTAAACATATTAAAAAATTACAAGAAAAAGAGCCAGGAGTCATGATACTTTTACCGAATTATATTCGGGTGAAGATTTCATGACTAAGTTTTTAAGCGCCCAACTTCATATTGAGTTTACTGAATTTGTAAGAAATATTCCTTCGATTTTTCAAAAGTTGCTTATAATATTTTAGAACTCATTTTACTAATAACGACTTTTTTAAATAAAAACTACTGATTCATTTTCGACAAAGTTTTAATGGGTCTATATAAGAATCGTGAGTATTGATCCACAGCTAAGATATTGTGAAAAATATTCAAATTCAGAACCTATTACTTTTTTGAAATTGGTTGAAAATAGACTATTGAAAATACTTATATATATCACGCAGAGTCAAAGTTAGTTTATTCGTAAATATTTAAATAAGAAAACATTTCAGTATCTTGCTTTTACTCACCGGAAATTGTTTTTAATGCTGAAATCCCTTGTATGAGGCATATTAACAGAACTAAGGCAAAATATGAAATTTTCAATGTCCCCATTATGAGTACAGTTTATTTTCCCACCACAAATAGTACTGAATGATGCTTCATGAAAAAACACAGTTGTTAGTACTTAATGATAGATGTAACGACACTGACGGGTCAAAGTTGCTCAACTCAATGAATCTAGAATAAGTAATTTATTCCACAACTAGCTGTGCCCGAGTCTTCGTCTGCGTGGGAAAGTATATCAGAAGAATCGTTTCTTTTCTAAGCTTGGTATCGAATCGAGTAGGATCAATGGTCCATAACGCACTACGCGGACTCAATGCGAATTGGTGGGTGTTAACGACTATTGATGAATGAATGAATAAATTATTTATTGTACACCATAAATTATAGAAAAACACAATTGATAAAGTTTAGTTTTACAATCGGCGGCCTTATCGCTGAAGAGCAGTTTCTTCCAGGAAACCGCAGGTAAGACTGGATTGTTACTTAATAGACGGATGTAGCCAGCCAACGACTTAACTTGCATTTCGAAGTACGGAGGAGCTCAAGAAAATAAAGGTCATCCACCCTATAAACGGCCTTTACGATAGTTAATTTTCTATATTTCTCTCTCTCTTCGCTTTCTGCTCTTGTGTTTCAGAGATCAAGCGCATTTCTCTATCAAAGGAAGTTTCATACTCATATTATACTGCATGCATGTTACGATCAGCAGTTAGACGCGCTATGCGATCTTCAGAAGTTTTCTGAGATCAAACGCTTGTTGTATGAGTTCTCCGAGAGCTCAAGAGACTGTCCCTGACGGTAAATGCTTCAGATTCATATTTATAGTACATGAGCCTCGCGACGGGCAGTTAAATACGCTTCGCGATTTTCAGGTGTCTCCCTAGACCGAGAGCTTTCAGTCCGATCGCTGTCTTAATCAATAAAAGTCGGTCGGTACATGTCTGACGGAAGGTACGTGGAGTTTTATTTATTGGTATAAAAAAAAATATACATATTTTAATTTCGACTTTCCACACTCAAAGGAAATCGTCTACTAACAACCTACTTCCGAGAGATGCTTAACTGAGTTTCCGTCAGATTTGAACGGCCCTCATCATTATAGATGGTTAAGGAGGATGGGTCACGACTCTCCATGCGGGCCCAATGCCAGCATTTTTTTTAAACAAATAGCTGTAGATACGTACTTCAAAGTTGGTATTTTCAGTCTTCGCTGGAAACAATGGTTTATTCATTGGTCTCACACAACACTTATATAATATTACGCGAGTGAGGGTCGGTTCAGAGTAGCTCGGTGGCGTAGTGAATAAGCGTCATGGCTCGTGATTGTAGTTGTCAAGCAACTTTGGCAAAGGTGGGTCACAGGATGGATGACCAAAAAAATATTATCTCAAGCAACTCCAAGCTTCGGAAGGCACCTAAAGCGATTGGTCCCAGTTGTATTTGCAGTCTTTAATAACCTCAAATTCGCATGGGCCAGTATGGAGGGTCGTGGCCCATCCTCCTTAACCATCTATAAGAAAGGCCTTTGCTCCTGCAGTTGGTGACGTGAAAGGGCTGATGATGATGATGATGATGACGACCGTTCAAATCTGACAGAAGCTCAGTTAAGCATCTCTCGGAATTAGGTGTTAGTAGATGATTTCCTTTGAGAGTGGAAAGTCGAAATTAAAATATGTATATATTTTTTATACCAATAAATAAAACTCCACGTATCTTCCGTCAGACATGTACCGACCCACTTATATTGATAAAGACAGAGATCGGACTATAAGCACTCGGTCTAAGGAGACACGTGAAAAACGCGAAGCGTATTTAACTGCCCGTCGCGAGGCTCATGTACTATAAATATGAATCTGAAGCATTTACCGTCAGGGACAGTCTCTTGAGCTCTCGGAGAACTCATACAACAAGCGTTTGATCTCAGAAAACTTCTGAAGATCGCATAGCGCGTCTATCTGCTCATCTTAACATGCATGCAGTATGGTCAGTGGCGTAGCTACCAAGGGGCTAGGCGGGGCATTGCCCCGGGGCCCTCAAGCTCAGGGGGCCCTCGAATCTTTACCAGAAAATCTCAATCGAACTCAACTTTTGAAAATTTCTCCTATTTTCAAAATGAATATGACAGGTAACAACTCGAGTTTAATCATGGCAACTCAGTTGTGAGAAATTCCAAAGTTATAAAAGGGAATTCCTCTAAATTATTTGTGTGGGTTGACAGTGTTATTAATGTTTTCATCAATTTGTCGGATATCAATATGTGCATATTATTATTTATCGATATACGTTTTTGTGATTCGCGAATGTGAACTTCGAGTCAAGATTTTTTTTTAGAATGGTTAAAAAGTTAATGTATCAGGAGTAAGTAAGCGTATGTCAATAAATTTGTTGTACTGGCCCATACAAAAGTTCAATTTTATTTGATTATAGTTCGTATAATAAAGAAATCTATAGATTTCTTTACGTAACATGTCTGAGTCTGTACATGTATGATGTCTGGGTCGGTACATGTCTGACGGAAGATACGTGGAGTTTTATTTATTGATTATACCATGAATAATAAAAGTCACATGGGGTAGGGAGCCATCCATTAATTACGTGATGTTTTTTTGTCATTTTTTAAACCGTCAAATGTGGTAACACTGGCGGCGATTAAATGTTTGCCGGGGATTCCCCAACGATGTCTTGTATCGTATCATCTCGTTTCGCTTTCTTTTTACTTGTAACGATGTCAGTGAACAGTGAGTACCTACTTGGGTACAATGTTACATAAATATTGCATAAATAAATTAGAAAACTAATATTATGGGCAAAAAAAAAGAAACCCAGTGGTGCATTTAAACGCAAACAACGCCAAGAAAGTGAAGAAAGTAAACAAAAATTGCCCAAAATTTACAAGTTTTTCAGTCAGCCTTCTGCAAGAACTTCTGGACAAAATATTTCTTTTGATAATTTTTGTAAATAGCTTTCATGGCGATAGGTTAAATAACAGTAAGCTGGTGCAACGTATCTATGAATAAATAAATATATTAAAAAACCCTTGAATCTTTTCTATTTCATTTTATTAATTTATGTTGTTAGTGTTTAATAGTTTTATTACCTGCCCATGTACGAAAAAGAGCTGATGATAAAGTTGTTTAGCATTTTTAAAGTATTTGTTTATTTAATAATTTTACTTCAAAAAACCTTACCAGTTTTGATAGCAGTGGGCCCCATTTTTTTATTTGCCCCAGGGCCCTAAATAACCTAGCTACGCCACTGAGTCTGGTATGAGTATGAAACTTCCTTTGATAGAGAAATGCGCTTAATCTCTGAAAGAACTCGTAATTTGCACAATAGAGATCGGGAAAGTAGTTTCGATTTTCGCCAACCCGTGTTGTATTCATACTCCACAGGCGTACCGCAGATAAGTTTTGACAGGGTATAATGAACTAACTGTTTTCTCACGACTTTGCCGCAAAATTATAGCAAAGTATGACATCCGCGTCTGATGTAGCTTCCCGTGGGTCGGAATCGCTCTAAAACTATCGGTCCAGAAGTTTTGGAGCAAATTCGATGCCAACAAACAAACAACCAAATCTTTTCTCTTTATAATATTAGTATAGTTTAGGTATAAGAGGTCCGATGGCGTAATGGGTTAGCGCATATTATCAAATACTCCATAATATGAGGGTTTTCTCTCATATGTATTATTATCTTCATTCTTTCTAGCGACAAATAAAAATAAATGATCTGAATGAATTATCATAATGCGCACAGTCCAGACATAGAGTCTCTATCCTGAATGTCACTAACAATAAAATAAAAGTTATTCCAAAAATCACGTTCAATAACACAGAACCTATAATCTATCGGTATTCGGTTAGAAATATAGAATTTAGAAATATCGAGAGAGAGAGCAACATAACGACGCTTAAGAACCAAGACCATCTATCTACACTTTGGCGATTTTCACTTTATAATGCAGTTCTTTTCATGGTTAATTTACGCATCGTTCCCTTTAATCGATTTCTTCAAATTCGCAATAAATAAGGAGTTATGAGAAAATACCAATACTACCTAAGTTACGTGTAGTAATAATTGTATGGAAATACCACCTATCTACAAAGAATACGTAATTACTCGTTTTATAATTTAATAAAACTAAGATTTTTGTTTCATTAAAGTTTATAATCTGTATTATTTCGTTTCAAAATCAAAGTCAAAATAGTCTTTATTCAAATAGACTTCCTAAAAATGTTTTGAATCATCCAACATTATTTTCCCTATCACTCGTTCAGGACGTCTTTTGGCTGATAAGAAGAACGAGCAAGAAACTCAACAGCTCTAATAGGAGTAATGACATTCACAAAAACCATGTCATTACCAGATCAATACATTATAAATAGAAAGAAAAAAAGTAAAAAGTCTTATAATGATAACATAATCATTTAATAATAATGGAAACAAGGTAATTTTTATATATAATGAGTTTAGAAGTAATCACCTATCCAGTTGCTGGATCATCTTAAGTCCAAGCATTTTTATCTGTTATATAATCGGATACCTTATAATAAGCTTTTTTAATAAGTATTTTTAATAGAAGATTTAAACTGCATGATATCTAATTCATGTATTATGCTTAGGACCTTATTGTAGAAGCGCACACAAAAACCCCTGAATGAGTTACTAAGTTTTTGCAGTCTAGTGACAGGCGCCGTTAATTTATTTTTATTTCTTGTAATAAAATTGTGTACATCACTTTTAATAGAAAACAAACTAATATTTTTACAAACGTACATAAAGTTCTCGTATATGTTTTGAGAAGCAAACATTCATTATGTCTTTTTCCTAAAATTTCTCCCTTAAAGAGTCCCTAATAAGATTATAAATTGTTCTAATTGCTCTTTTCTGAAGCACACACAATTATTTGTATATCGGCAGCATTTCCCCACAATAGGGTTCCGTACGACATTACACTATGAAAGTAACTGAAGTATACTAATCTGGCATTATCTATGTCAGTTAACCTACGTTTCTTCATTACGGCATATGCTGCAGAGCTAAGTGTATTCGATTTATCAATATGTGGGGCCCACTTTAGCTT